TTTTTTTTTTTTTTTTTAAATAATATCTCGATAAAGTTCACAAGAGTCAAGAGCCGATCGATTTTCGATTTAATTTATTCGTCGTTCACTTCCTTATGAAATGGAAAGTCCAACAAATGTTTTCCACGCATTCTCCCGTCACAAACGGCGAAATTTGATTTGTCAATTCGTTCCCGGTTATCGTTACACACTTATAGAACTCCAATCCGTGTTTGCATAAAAGCACAGGAAACGGTGCTATCGGGGACGATACTCGAGAGAGGGTCGAGTTACCCCCAAAGGTTCGGTTCGCCGGACTAACTAGGAATTGCCGCGGCTGATCACGATGCGTCGAAACAACCGAAGAAGTGGAGGAAGAGGTTGCCCCGTCGTGTGCAACGCGTGTCATGGAATAACTCCCTCGGTTATGCGTGCCCGTACGAAACAGTTTCCCTTATATACTACTGAATCCTCCGTGTAATACATCAACGGCCAGTGGTTAACTCCTCCACCAATAGAAACAAACACGTGGGACGTGTATACACGTGTCGAGGTGTCGACACCCGGTTCGGTACAAAGGTATATTACCCGTTTGTCGGCGAAAAAGATCAAAATTTACAATACTTAATGTGTGAATCTTTCTGTCTGTAACAAGAACTAGGGTAGATGTCCCAATTACTGCCAGCTTAAGATTGTAGCGTAACTTCATTTAATCATTTTACGTGTTGTTTAAGGGGTCTCCCTACTGTGACGAGTGAAAAATTAGGCGAAATTCAGAAATTTTTTTTAGAAAAAACTATGAGGTATATCGATGTTAAACTTTTATCTATGAATTCGTATATACTTTAATAGGATAAGCTTAATTTTTTTCATTTGAAAATGTAGTGTAGATTAAAAGTTATTGTATTTTTTCGGGGCTGCCTAAAAATAAGGTGCCTTCACGGCTGCCATTATATCAGCTGTCTACGTTATTTCAAATTTAAAATTGAGGAAGATTCTTAATCTCTATGAACGTGGCTATCGCCCGTACTAGAATGGATAAAAAATATTGAAAAATCACAAAATGGTGGGATCTTGCAAGAAAGTGCCGATTTTCGCGAAAAAATTCGCTTGTTTTTCAAGTTGCAAAATTCGAATTTTGCAAATATCAACTTCATTCTAGTACGGGAGAGAACCATGCACCCACCGAAGATGCCTACATAGTTTCAAGTCACTCCGTCAAATAGTTTCTGAGATATCGGGGCAGCCATTTACAAAAATGTCGTTTTGAGAAAAACGTGTTTAAAGTTTCGATTTGAACCTGCGTCTCGCGGCGCGCTGCTTCGGTTTGAGGCTAATAACTTCCTTATTATTTCGAATCGGGTGAAATCCTTTTAGGATTATGGTTTTGCAATATTAAGCCTTGAGAAAATATAAAAAAAGAAAACATCGATCTTTTTGTCCCGTCACAGTAAGGAGACCCTTTAACCTAAAAATCGTCACAGTTTCGAACATAATATTGTTTAAGCATAATATTGTTTTATACATTAAATACGATGAACCAATTAATGATTAATTAAAATTTGTAAGCAGTCCTCAGTGTCCGTATAACTGTCACTGTCCTCTAAAGTTACAGTAATTCTTGTACACTTTAACGAATCATTGGTACAATAGATAGAGGTTTAATACTAAAATTATGGCTCTTTCTTCAGTATGACTTCGCCTTCACTTCCTACTCACGTGATCGCGTTTTTTGACGTCCAAATTGCACTTTTATGTTTCAACATTACTCCTTAAATACCAGGTACAGACAAGTATCTTGTACTTGTAACTTTTTTCAGATTGGTCTGATTTTCAAGCGTTTGTATCTTACAACAACGTTAACCGATTTCGATGAAATTTTCAACATGTATATCACTAACATAAATGTTTCGATATGTATTTATCACATTTTCGTTACAGTCTCAAATAAACAAAAAGTTGTAAAGAGCAATCTTTTATATTTTTTAAATTGCAACTTTTTCAAAATTTTTTTACACATTATTTAGTAAACTAATGTTCCTAACTTCACAAAACAACTCAAGTCACTCGGACCAATTTCAAAAAAGTTGTTCCGTTTTAAAGGGTGTACGAATACTTTTGTCCCCTACTATATATTTCCTTGTTTTTGTGTAAATCAGATTCCCCATTTAGTAATAAAATTTTCTGTACTCAACTCTTAACACGTAACGTTTTTATTAAGTAAAATAAATAAGTGGCAGTAATTGGAACACTTACCCTACAATTCATTCCTTTTCTGTGCGTGTCGAATCGATATCTGTACGCAGGATTAGATGACGATTATACAGAGAAAATATGTACAGCTGCAAATGTGGTGCTCCAGAATGTTTGTAGGGTAAACCAACCAGTGAATGACCGAATTGTTGAATTTCTAGACGTTTGAGATTAATATTTGAATGTATTTATTTATAACAACAAAACAGCTGTTGATCTTGCAGTTACGTATATTTTTCTTGAAACTTTTATAAAAATAATTACTTATTCTTATTGTAATTTTTAACACATTATTTATAAAGTGCAAAACGTGTAAAAGCCCAATAAATGACAGCTTCGTTTCTGAAATATTTTTAATAAGAATTGTACTTATTAATGTTTCCTTAATATGATAAACTAAATATATGAGATATTAAAAGTGCAACAACGCTCCATTTATAAACCTTTAATAATTTTTAAATTTATAATTTACGTTTCTTGCCTAATGGTCATTCACTGGTATGCAGTTAATTACTGGTTGGTTTACCCTACATTGTGCAGCCGGCACGTGGTATACGATGTATAGAAATCGTGGTGCACTGCGTCGAATAAAAGACTTTTTTTAACTTTCGGTTATATTGTATCAGACGCGAGGTTATAACCGCGACTTTACATACATACATTCAAGGATTTCTGAAGTGGTTTACTTTACTTACGATGATACAAAAAAAGTTGAGTCAGTTCTTCCGAAAAACAATGATATTTACAAAAGTTCATTTTATACGACTCGTGCATTGTCGCATATCGTAAGGTTCTGGCGGAAACTTACTGCATCGAATGGCTTTTCATCGAAAAATCAGGAATACCTTCGTTCCTATTCATACAGTAGGACAGTGTGAAACACGGTCGAAATGTATAACGTAAATTTTTATCATCTGAGATTCAATTAAAAATGGCCCATGAATACTCTGCTTTATCACCGGTGACGAAACTTTCACTTTGTGTTATAAAAACACGATGAAAGGAAAACATGTTCGCAGGTAACGCTGCATTTTTCGAGTTAAAGAGTCTGGTATACCATACATCTTAATTCGTGTGAATAAAGTTACTATTTTCAGTTGTAACTTTAACACTTTTAGTGGTTTTATAGACAAATTTGTTCCCGATACCACATTTAAATCCACAATTTCGTTCTCAATATGGGTCGCTGGATTCATTCCTTCAAGCGATCGCTTTATCGTCAAAATTCACGTTTCATAATTTTGAAGGCCAATACATGTCACCGATTACGTATTACAATAGCAAATATCTTCGTCGCGCTTTCAAAAATTCAAAACATCGTCTAATTGGTTCAGTTATCACTGGTGTCAACACCATTGCCAGTGTGATTCCAGCTTGTAAAGGTGTTTTAAGGTGGTTCATACTTGACTCTCTAGTCAATAATACATCATATTATTAATTTATATTAAACGTCTATTAATACATTTTAATAGCGTATAAAAATTATATCTCTGAATTTCGTCGACTTTTCCAATGATCATTCTTCATTGTATTATAAATAAAAAATATATTTTCATTGGTCGTGTCGTATGACTCCACTCTGCTCATTTCTTGTACGCTTGGCAACGTTGTTTTTGCACGCATATCTATATACGCGTGTATGTTAAGTATAGTCAATATTTAATATTCTTATATGTAAAATTATTTATATTCTCGTGCATTATAATTTAGAAAATTATAATTAATTGAAACACAAAATAAGTAAAATATTTGTTATATTTATTTGAATTTCGCGGGTACGACCCTGCTTCAGGAACGTTGCCAAGTTCTCAACATACTTCCAATAACCATCCAACTACCGACACATCCTGGACTTTATTGTCAAATATCTTCCTGGAATGTTCGGCATGATACAAGATTTAATTCATTATCAGAAAGCTCGGGATTTATATTTTCAGTATCTAGATTTTGGTTAACAGTTCCACAAAGATTATACTTCCGGTAAGAAATCGTAAGACTGCCATAAGAGTCAAAAATTGAATTTTTGACAAGCTTTTCTTATTCATTTCAACGGCGACGTAGTCTCAAATTTTTTGCGTGTGCGTATTTCATTCTAAAATAAACAATCTGTATGAATTTTATTTAATTATCTAGTTTTTCGAATCTGGCACGAACCACCTTAAGCAGTCTTAATTTAAACGATTTTCGTCGACTTTCCTGATCAAGACCTCGTGCATACGTCGGTCCATTTATTAGGAACATCGAGCTCGACGATTAACCGCATCAAAACGATTACGTCAGATTGCGAATATTGTCATGCGCCGCTCGACGAACAAAAGGAGCGGGATGAACAACACGTGTAGTAATGTGTAGCCAGGCCGGATTCAAGCCGACCAAGCCAGTCGCGATACGAATTGTATGATATTAAATATAGTCTGATTTATGTTGGGTTCGGACTTATTTTCATCAGAAAAATCTCCTAAATTTATTATAACATGTAAAAGAAACTACACTGAAATGAGGAAAAGTTTAAATTTTTATTCGTGGATGATTCATTCTGTGTGTTACATTGTAACTTTGTAACCCTAGCGTCGGTCGCCGGAGGCTTATAAGGATCTGATACCATCTCCCCTCGCCGAGGCCCCGTGACGTCATCTGGTTTGGTCGGCTTGAATCCGGCTTGG